TTCTCTACTCATCACTAAGGTGATTGTGCTTAGTGTTCCTTTAGCACAATCACCTGTCTAAGACTTTGCCTTTATACTAGAATAGTCTCACCTGATTTAGGTATAAATATAAAATATAATAACAAAGACATTGTAGTCAAACATTGCAAGCCAGTGTTTAATAGTTGCGTCCTTTCAGCACTTGCTAATGAAACAAACCAGCCTTTACACAAAACAGAAATAAAAATGCAAATTTCTTACCATTGCTGTCAAATATATACTGTCGTCAATATTGATATGTTTATTTTTTTTATTTATTATTTATAGGTGAGGTAGGTGTGTTGAGAATCTTAGCCGCACACACTGGACCTTTCCCTTTTGCAATAAATGATATATTCCCAGTGAGCGTGCTTAGACTACGAGTGTCTTTGGTGCATGAATGCTGAGGGTCTACCAAGTGCACATGTGCAACTCCTCAAAGATAACCATAACCCTGAAGTGAAACGTTTACAAACTCTCTTAAAAGGCTACTTTAAATGCAATTTGGAGCAAAGTAAAGCGTGCAATTAATCATGTGATTAACATTAAACAAATCAAACACTCTTTAAATGGCTAAAATGTCTTTGTTTAGTTGATGTCTATTTCGTGGTTATAAGTGGACTGTGTTTTTAACTTTACAAGCTTTTATTTTGTTGATACTTCTATCGTTTATGTCATTAGACTGTGAAAATTATATCAACATATGGGTGTCAAATATATGACTCATGGGCCAGAACATGCTGCCAAAGGGTTCCGTTTGGCAAACTGGATTGATTTAGAAAAAAATATATATAATAACAACAAAATTAGCTGCAAAATAATTACATTTTTTGGGAAAACACACTGCTTTTCCTGGTGTGGGGATGGCAGCATTGCTATACAGCAGAGAAAATGTATGGAAAGACTTCCAGAGCTCCAAGAATTCTTTAAATTATTAAATACTAATCTATTTTTCTGTGTTTTTAAGCTCCATGACACTCTATATGTGAAGGTTCACTCTAAATTGTGATGCACATGTAATTACTGAATGTATTACTATTATCAAAAACATTATGATACAATGGATTTACTGGTCCAACTCGCATGAGATCAAACCGGACTGTATGTGGCCCGTGAACTTAAATCGGCCCTATAATACCAGATCATAATCATTAAAAAAGCCAGGTGCGTTCATTAAAATTCAAAATTATATGAATGTTGTTTCATTGTACTGATCAGACTTGAGATCACATGTGTGACTGGTCCTTAAGAGAGTCTTTGTTGCGATCCAGCTGATTGTCAATAAGCCTTTCACTTTTGGGCCAAGTTTGGGATTAAGAGTTTGCTGCACTGACAGCAAACCCTTAATCCAGATGGATTGTGAAAGTACCTTCAAACACTTGTGTGGTCTGCGAGCCTCAGTCATCAACATGAAGAAAGCATGACCTACAATATATATCATTTTTTGCTATCTTGTCCAGTAGTCGTTCTATAAAATAATTATGTTACTGTCATTTATCATCAGCAGTAGTATGTATAAACCAGCCATCTGTCATTCCTGATGTAATTACACTTCATTATTACCACTTAGAGCTTTTTTATTCACTTTAGAGTTTTCATATTCTTATTCAGACACAGAGTTTTGTTTTCTTAGGATTAATTTTTTATTTCTCTCCTACAGTGTTGACTAGCTGAGCTATGAAAGGTATTTGTGTATTAAAAAAATGCTCCAGCGCATTTCTCTTCCCTCTTTCTGCATCCCTAGGATACCTTGTTACTCAAGGAAAACAGAGTATCAAGCATTGTTACTACTGAAAAGTAGCCCGTACTACGACTTCAAATCAAACCGCAAACGCAGCAGGGTTACGCGGGGATACCTCGTTACTACACGGTGGTGAGCGTAAAGGAAACTCGACAAGCATTTGATGGGACAGGTCTGCGCTGAAAAAGAAAAAAAAAAGCCGAATATAATGGTAGCAAGTGCGTCCACTTTTATTCCCACCGGTGAGAGTATTTATATCGGTCTGACTCAGTGCTTCCTTAACAGCGGTCCCTTAAGATGAACCCTATCCAGGAAGGATTAGAGCAAAAGGATCTGCACTGAACTCTGCCTGGCACTGGAGAGGAAATGCATAGCCTCTTGATATTGATAAGCTTTCACTCATTTCCTCCACACTCACTGCAAACAAGTGAAATCTCTAAAGGAAAAGCGTGTGGCCGAAAGCATTATAAAGTTTGGGAACCCGCCAGCACTGCTTCATATCGTGAATGAAATGTTTCAGCCCTATTTTTAACCGCTCCAATACACAGGCTTCATTTACAAGCTTAATATTACAGGGGGAAAAGGGTCCAATATTTGTCCTTCGCAGCTTAGATAAACACTGCACTCTCACACTACTGGGGGGAAAAACAAAAACGAAACAATGTCAGTGACACACAACTTCATGTTTGGCAGCACATACCTCCTTCAAGCGCCACTTTGGTATCTTCCAGAATGATAGCGTCCACACAAAAATTAACCGAAATAAAACATATGGTCCCAAAGAGAGTGCCAGAAAAATAAAAAATAAAAAAACTGAAGCCGCGACTGAGCGGTCCCGTACGAGGCCAGACAATAGTAGCAGAGCTGTCGGGACAAACTTGCTTGTAAACGAAGAGGAGGAGGAGGAGGAGGCAGGGAAGGGAGGGAGAGAGTAGGAATGCCTGGAATGATGGAATTCAGTTCCTAGCAGGTGGTGAAAGTGAAGCGCGCTGATTGGCGAAGGACGGGAGCAGTGATATCAGCATATATTATGATAATGACGCATTGCATCACATCCTCTGGAGGTTTGTATCCCCTGCTTTCACTGCGTGCAGCATTATTAGGTCTTACTCTGAGACTCGGAGATTGTGAAACGGTTAGTAGGTGACTCAAGGGCACGTTTACACCCGCGCACAGTGCGAGTGTTAACCAGTGAGAATGGGGTGTGGCAAGTATTTAGACGTACTGACATGAGACGGGATATTTTAACTGTCAAAACTGTGTTTCTGACACCTTTTTTTATATTACCGGGTCGAGAGGGAACAAATTTTATGTACTGTTCAATTAATTCATAGAGCACATTATAAAAAACACCAAAGAGTACATGAGTACACTGGATGGCTTTGGAAAATATGAAGGAAGGGATATATTTTTAAATGTTCCATGTACTTTAGTAGCTTTTTTCTGCTGATAAAGACCCTCCCATGGTCATACTACACCAACGTATATAAGTAATAGATAAACAATGAATTGATGAAAAGGTTCTTGTTTTTTCAATGTGCACTTTAGAAATTTCAGGGGTTCTTTGTTGGGGTTTTTTGTTGTTTGTTTTTTACAATGGGTGCACATAAAAGGGGCATATTCTATGAAATAACACAACGCTTTGTTCTATAATTACAGGGCAATCTGGGCAGTAAGCTACAGCAACCCTTCCTGTTTTTTCTTTGTCTTATAGTACGATATCACAGGGATAAAATGTGTAGTTAACCTTCTTTACCCTGTCAGAAAGGGGAATTTCACTGGCTTGACCTACTTAAGCTCAAAGTTGGTTTGTGTTTGACATCTCTGCTTTATTAAGAAGTTTACAAGTTGGCATTCGGACGTGCTATGATGTACGCTTTGGAGACGGTGGCATTAACAAATGACAGGAGGCAGTGTTGGAAATGTTAGGGTTTACACTGGGAGTGACCAGGAGGAGCACAATTGGATCTAAAAGGGCCGTTTGAGTACAGAACTCATTGTTATGTTCCTGAAACCAGTTTGAGATGATTTGGTCTTGGCGAGCTTGGGTGGTTGGTAATAAGAGGCCTAAAGCATGTCTAAAAAATATCCTCAGCACCATGACACAACCACCACTGGCCTGAACCCTTGATATAGGGCAGGATGGATCCATGCTTTCATGCTGTTTACACCAAAATTTTGCCCCTACAATCTGAGAGTTAATGAAATGAACAAAACTATGGAATATCGCCATAAAACCCTGAACTCAATGTAAAAAGAAAAGATAAGAAACAAAACAAACAAAAGAGGAAGTATGGTTAGTTTTTGTAAGAAGCTACAAGCCAAAAATATTTACTCTCATAGGGTTCTGAAAATGTAGCAATATAACACTGCACAGGAAAATTAACTGCAGTTGTATAAATCTAGCAACTTACTTTCCTACACTAACAGCAGTGTTGGTCGATTTGAGGAACTGCAAAAACAAACAAAAAGGTGTTTAAGCACAGGTCATTAATAATGCAGTAAAAGTTCAAATAGTGTCTCGATGATTCATATGTGGCAATTACTGAAGTATGCGTCATGATAAGTGCAACTAAAACACGACAGTATGACTAACTGATGTTGCTCTTTTATGATTGTACTATACTATGATGGAACAAAGGACCTTTATGCTTTTTAGTTTAAAGAAGTTCCCTTTGTAATTTGGATTTTAAGAAGAATTAAAGCAAATATGTTAGGAAAAGCTTTTGTGATTAATTTTATATCCATGATTATGACTGAAGCTCAAAGATATTGTATTTAAACATAAACTATATGGGCAGTTATTTTGGGGAAATACCTATATCCTGGAATATGTACTCATTTTGAGCTTGTTCGGTGTCTGTCTTGCTTGTCTATGATACAAAAATGCAAATTCAATTGAAACAAAGAATAACATTTTTCTTAATCCTTAAATCATCCTAGGGGAAGAGGTAGGGTATACCCTGGACTAGTCCATCGTGGGGCTAACACAAACAGATAGGGACTCACTCTCTCACATATCGACACAAACCGAGAATTTAGAATCACCATTAACCGAAAAATCTTGTCTGGACTGTGGTCGCAACTGGAGGTACACTGAGCCAGTTAATCCAATTTAAAAGACCAGCAATTTTTTAAAAAGGAGTGTTTAAATAAAACGAGGTCATAGGATGCAAGAAGCCAGAAATAACATTCCTAAACATGGCTAAATAAAATCATGCCACAGGAGAAAAAGTCTCAATTGATGTTATATTAGAAATTTTATTAAAACAATTTCTTTCAGCTGAATTACACTACAGGCCTGTTTGTAAGGAACCAATCAGTGCATCTTCCCATTAAAAGGTTCAGGTTTCCATTACAAGCTAAACCAAATAATAAAGTCAGTGAATAAAGACACACAGACTAAAGAGTTGAACATTAGAGATCTTTGGTGAAATGTGTAGGGAAATAAGTGTGCCATCCTCGTGAGGACTAGTTTGTGTGTTAGACTAGTGGAGTGAGGACGTTTCAGCCGATAATCACTTCTTCTTATCCTTTTAAAGGCCTGGTTGAGGCTCAAGACTTAGTTTTACAGTTGAAGTGTTAGGCACTGAGATGGGATGGTTATGGACACGGTAGAGGGCTCAGGAAAGCGTTATGTCACAAATATCCACACAAATATGGGTGTTTGTCACACAGATCCAGCCACCTGACCTGTTGATAGCACCGTTCACAAAGAAAACTCAACACAACACTGACCTTGATTCAGAAGACACACATGCGACCAAACCTATTCCTTCACAAAACTTGAGGTACAGGTTTCAAGTTCTTAACACTGATTTTGGGCTATTTTTACTGCATGGCCTTTAAAAGTAGTCCATTCAGACCTTTCAGTATGTCATCAGTCACTGTAGTCCATCATCCAGAAAAGCTAATCTGTACTACCGGCAAATGTCAGCCATTACTCAGTCCAACTTAGAAAATGCCACCCTTTATTCATGAATTATATGAATTTAATGAGGGCTCAAGCACAGATGGTTCGTATTTTTCCACACACTGCCTTACACCTGGTCATAGGTCGCATACGTAGACACTACAGAGTGATACAACCATAGGTTAGGGTGTGATTGTTCTAGATGGGGTTTTAAAAAAGGACGGGCAGCATTAGATTGTCAGACTGACAGTAACAAAGACGAACAAGTTCCTGGTAAACTGACAAGGTCAAGACATCTGAGAGACCGACGGCTTCCTCCTCCCGCCCTTCCACATCTTCATCAGTTTTTTGGAGCTGTAGGATACAGTCTTCCACAATCCTGGAGGAGGGAAAGGAGCACACAGACCACCCATTAACATGCATAACATAGTTCTTTTATATCACCCCAATCATTTTTTTTTTAATACTCTAGATTGTGTGTAGAATAATCAAACGATATATGATAGGTACTGAGCTTTGGAGGTCTTGTTAGGCAGGTTGTCTTTAGAATGCACCAGTTTGACCAGTTCCCCCTGTCTATCTTCAGGTAAACCATTCATCTAGCTGTGGCGTACACACAGACACAATACACAGTACATAATATAAGATTTCTTACCAGCTGTAGCAATGCCTTTGATACTCTGTGTTATACTGGAGGATTTCACAATGGATGAGATACCTGGGAAGCAATAGAAACAAGCTCAAACATGTAATTAAAACACACTTAATATCTGTTTCCATGACCCATTTCTTCCTCCCTCACTGCCTCTGCTTATGCAAACGTTCCTCTAAAGAGAACCGATCCCATTTCTTCGTCATCTTTCTTCTCTACCTTGTTGCACAACTGTTCCACAGTCAGGATCCTGAGCCACCTGGAGCAGGATCTCTTCCACATCCCGGTTCTTCCCTGGAGGATCAACCAGCTTTGTGATCCTTTGTTGGAGAGTCCGAGGTAACGCCATCAGCTGAGTAAATTGGCCTTCTGGGCTTTTGTCAACCTTCAGGAAAACATACAAAAATAAATGAACAGAGATACATATAGTTGGCCATTGATCATTAAACTGACCTCACGGCCCACTGCTCGTTAGTGGTGCTAGTTTCAGTCTTTATGAAAATATACCGTTTATAAAGATTTGAAAATCTGACTGAAGAAGTCACCTGGGTGAAACAAAACGTTTCTCCCACTGAGCAGTCCAGATGAACACAATCAGCTTTCAGTGATAGCTGGCAGAATAGCTCTATAGGTGCTTTACATTGTAACTATTAGGAATGAAGGTGCATTTTTACTTTTTTTTTCATCTTTTAAAGTATGCTTCTGTAGAAGTTTATTCAGAAATCAGAGTCATTGGGGATCTCTGCAGCACTGTAAATTAAGTAAATTTTTTTAAAAGTTAAAGAAAAAAAACAAACAAACAGCCAATGCATCTCTGATCTGCTGTTATCAGACATAACCTAAGAGGCATTTTGTGTTCACAAAATTGGTCCTATTGCTCCAAAATATTTATTTACAGCTGCGAAGCTCAACATGACATATATAGGTCAATATAATTCACTAACTTCAATTATTTTAATACAAAATATGGCTTTTAAAAAGTATGTATTAAGCTTTGATGAATAGGTAATGGTTTTATGATCTGATCTGCACATCAACACGTGCACACATAGGCAGCTGCTAATGCTAATGGTTGCATAATATTACTGTAACCTTACTGAAAACGTGCCAACAAAAGCAGCAAAGGCAGCGCCTTGCATGTTGCCATGTGTCATGCTTTTTTTTGTTTTGTTTATAAGTGGGCTCATGTTTACATTGCAAAACTCCCCATCTTGTAACAGATGACTGCAAAAGATATCACACATACAAAGACATACACATTTCTTGGCTCTTCTTCTCGTAATCGCTCATTTTCCTGGGCAGAGTCATTTCTCAGGTATTCAGTGTTTCCTTGGAAAAACAGGGAGTGGTTGCAGCATTTAAAAAGTACACAGATTTGACTGCAAAGAAATTTGCCATTTATTGAGTAGACACACAGTTACCACACTATACCATTAATTACTGTATGTAAAATAATAAGGGAGACTTTTAGTGTGAAAATCTATTTGTGTATTTCACAAAACAGGCACGACAGCTGGATAATTTCACTTTTTATAAAAGGTCCAAAGGCACTTTAAAGAATTTATCCATCTTGTTATATTTCTGGAAATATGTCGGTAGCTGTTGTTTCATGGTATTACATTTCAACGCTTAATAAGGACAATTTCTGAGGTACAGCACTTCAGTTTATTCAGCTGACACTCTGTAAAAGTACCCAATGTCCAAACTGAGCTGTGTTGCTCAAATATCAGAGATGCTGAAAGAAAGTGTGTATTCTTCTGGTGCCTGTTTACAGTATCATACCTCAAGTTTTCCTTGGTGAGGTTTGTAGACCACTTGAGGGCAATCTCTTAAGATGTTGCTATACAAAATCCTGAAGTGTTGAATGTTGTCTTTGACGATATTGGCCACCTTGGACTTATCCTCTCCAAGCACCATCCTAAAATCCCCTTCAGAGGAGCAAAAAATAAATAAATAAATAAATAACACTTCAGTTTGCCTAAGTCAGGTGTAATACAGAATATTTGCTGTTATCTGCTTTAATTTTCAAAATATGTGTCTAATTCACAGAAGTAGTAAGACAGTCATTAGCACACTCATAATCATCTCCCATAACAACCTGGAGTGTTACACAGCACTGTCATTGTACGTACACTCTTTGCTTTAAGACACTGAAAGCCTCATGATGAGGATAACATGTGTTGACTTCAAGCCATTTCACTGCATATTATCAAGAAAATTAAAAAGTTTAATTAAAAAGATGTTGAATAATTCTGAAGTCTTCTGAGCAAGCAGTATGTTTTTCTAAACTACAAAAGCTGGAGCACTACAGCTTGGATATTAATCCCTGTGTTGACTCTGAATAACACAAGTAAGCAGTAAATGTGTGCAAATGGGAGAAAAAGATCAGAAAGAGAAATGGTCTTATTCTGATCTAAATCTGCAACTTGAAAGTAACTATGAAAGTATGCAATCTTCTTAAGCTCTGTGCGGTTTTAGAAATCTGCTTACCAGCATAAGAAAGACCAGCTATCTGCAGGAAAAGGTCTTCCTCAGTGAAGCTCTCTGGGAGCATCAGGAAGGAAGCAGTCACAGCGCTCTTCAGGTTGGCGACCAGGGCAGCGCGGAGCTTTCGGCTCTCACTCTGGACCAGCAATCTCACCTAAACACAAGTGCAGACCAATGCAGTATGTTATCAGGAGAACTAAACGTGAATGCAACAAAAACATTGTTCTAAACCCTTGCATCCCATTTCAGATTACACATTACAATAATTATTCTAATAAATGTAAAATAATCAGCATAGTTTGTCTGAGGGTTCAATAACAGTCCGATCTGGATACCAACCGGTTTGTGCAGGCGCCCAGCTACATACATGGTCTTCCAGTGTATCAGGTCGTCAATCAGAGAGTCTGTACTTATTACCCCATATTTTATTATCTGAGAACAGGAGAAGAAATATGCAGTTAATAAATTAAACCCACAAAAACCTCTTAAAGTAAATGCACATCTGAACATGCTTGCATCACCATAAACAAATGAATGATTTTTGATTCAGACATGCATTTTGTATAGAGGTGATCCTATAAACTAACCAACAAAGCAACACAAAACACCATCACTGCTGTGACAAATTCACAGGTTATGTGAGGAGTTTTGTGTCTGTAGTTAGAGCAGGGCACATTGATGGTGCACACATAGAGAAAACTAGAAAAGACCTACAGATGTGTTTAGGTTTATGAGAATTTAGTCATTTACCCTTCCATCCACAGGCACCAGCGTGTTGTAGTACACCGAAGCTCCGTGATCATTTTGTATGGAGCTGATTACTGTGGGACCCAGCAGCTTGAGGATGGAGTAGTGTTTGCGATTCTGCAGCAGATTCATGGTGTGCCACGTCACCGGGTCGTCCACCGCAAACACAAAGTCCAGCATGTTTTTCTGCGTGTATCAGAGGACAACAGAGGATCGAAAGCATTTCACTACATCACAACTTCAAACTGTTAAGGAACAACTTCATAGGTATCGCAGTGTATTGTGTGATTTTGTGGTAACATCAAATCAAATCAAAATTTATTTATATAGCACATATTAAAACAACAGTGTTGACCATAGGGCTTCACAGTCAGTAAAAACATGAGACAATTAAAACAAACAATAAAACAGGACAACAAACAATAGGTAACAACACAATAAGCTAGAACAGCCAACTAGTTAGAATCAAAGGCCAAAGTAAAAAGATAAGTTTTAAGACGTGATTTAAAAGACTGGATAGACTCGGCAGTACATATTGTACATGCATGTCAGAAATATAAGAACAATCCATAGTTACACGTGTGCAAAAAGTTGTGATGTAATACACAACATGGTGTTTACATCACTGAAAACAATTTGATTTCTTCATTTTTTTAAAGACTGTACAATGGTTTGAAGTATTGCAGTGTAATGCCTCGGGAATTATCTATGTTTACATAATGATAGGACTGTTATGCACAAACAGCCTCATTCATGGACAAATATTGAGTCCATGTCCCAACATACACATTTTCACTGATGTGTGTAATATTATAGGGAATACAGCAGGGTAGATGGCTCCCTGCCACAAATACAAAGTTGTACAGTTAACTTGCGGATTAAAAATGTGTAAAGTATTTTGTATACAATGCTTACAGTGCAGATTTAACGCCATGAGTACTCAGAAACAGCTATGTCTCTTACCTCCATTTGACCTTGGCTGGTCCCATGCTGTTTAAAAACGCCAGATCCGTAGGCAAACGCTAAGCTGATGTCCTGAGGAAACTGTGACAGTATCCGTCTGTAAAGCACGCTGGTGTTGTGCAGAGCTGGAAGAGTCATTTTGAACTAGCCGAGACACCTGTCCTGCAATAACACGAGCTGGTTAACGGCGGGAAAACCTATTAAATAAGGCGTAAAATACAAACTCGACTCCGTGAAGTATGAGAGACATTTCAGACGGAAGGCCTCAGTGGCACTAAGCACGATCACGGCCTGTGGACAGGATTAAAATGACCCAATTTATCGTTAAACGTCCATCGTGTCAGTTTAGCTCAGCTGTGCACTTCATAGTCGATGAAAATATGCGTCACAGACGCCGCTCCGCACCGGGGGCTGACGGGAGATGTGGTCGGTAATGGGAGGTAAGCAACGGGAGCCGTTAAATTCCCTTTAATCACCCTTAATACACGTGTGTTATAAATTTTACAGAAATACTTGTATATTTCAACGTATTCCTACAGTTTACTACTTGGAAAACAATTTGAAGACGTTTGAACCGCTTTATATTTAGCCAGTAGATGGCAGTTTTCCATTAAGTTTAGCAGGAGGGAATGAGGTCATGCTAATTTCCTATGTGGAGTCGCTTTAAAAAAAAACTGAACCAGGGGGAGTTTTTATACGTAGTTTCTTTTTCAAAAGTTATAACTGAAGGTTTAGAATGAATTTGGCTCAGTGTGTTACTTCTCTAAAATAATTAAAAGATTGCTTAGGAGTAGTTCTTTCTTTTGTTGTTTCTGTTATAAATAACTGAATCATGGACATGGCTAGAACTGGTGCACAAATGTCTATGGATACATATCACATGAGTTTAAAAAAAATATGTTTTCCTTAAACTTACAGAGTTAGAATAATATCTGTGTATGATTCTCAATTAAACTTCCTTTGCTTTCATAGTAAGAACGCATTTGTAGTCCAAAACTTTACCCAGTTAATATAAGATAACTGTGCCAACTGTATCATCATCATTATCATATTATTATTATTATTATTATTATTATTATTATTATTATTATTACTATTATTATTATTATTAGTGATAGAATTACAGTCTGCCAAAAAGTGATTGCCGATGTTTCTGTGTGTTTTTATGTCTAATATCGGTGCTTACATTAGTAAATACACTGTATTAAGATAACATCACAGGTAGCAGACATCAATTCATATTGAAAGTGATGATGTTGATCTTTTATACTACCTTTATACTGTCTAGGAGTTGGAAAATCAGCCTTTTGGCTTGTGAAGTTTTTTAGTTGCCTAAATCCACAAACAGCAGAGCCTCAACGAACAAGTTAAGTAATTCTTTTCCTGATACTGCACCGTTGCACAAAATCCTAGGCGGAGGCTATGCAAATACTGATGTAAACGGCAGAACCTATGCAAAGCAGTATGCAACCAAATCAAACATGTTTGTGCCCAGTTCTCCCAAAAAAGCAGGATAAGCAGGGATTGTAGCACCAGTGAGCAGTTTTCATTGTTTTTAAACACTCGCTTTCACTTCAGCTCTTGTACATTAGTTTTGCTCTTCTTTGTGGCTAGCAAGGGCCAACAACCATGGTGTAAACCAAAGTGCCTTAAGTCTGCATTCTATCATAAGGCCAGCAGATGGCGCTAACTGTGGTTGCAAAAAGCCCCTTTGTAGAAATCAATAGGAAAAAACCTCTGCAAAAATCTTCCTGCTGAGTTTATGGGCTCAGACACTCACTTTGGGGTCATATTGAATTAAAAAAGTAAGTTTATTTTGTAATCAGTGGTCATGTGTTTTAAATTGGGAGGATGATCTGTGGTATGAAACCACATGCTCATGAGCACAGGTCAGACCCATTTTCCTCATTTTTTTGCAACTAAGATGGCGACAGCGGAAAGTTCCAGATCTCTACAAAGTTCCAGATTTCTCAGGATTTTAAAACTGGTCTTCAGAAACCCCTGTGTGATGTCATCAGCTACGTCCACTTTTCAAACTGCTTGTAAAAACCGCACAATAGCCCACAGACCGAATTTCTGTGACAGTAAAAAAGCTACAACAGGTAAACGATTGCCAGCAAAGCTGTCCCTACAGTTGGTGCGCTACAGTATTATGTTCCAGTCCTGAACCTGGCTGCTCTACCACTGAATTGAGGCTGTAGCCCCTCTAACTGGTGTTGGTGTAAGGCTTCGTTCTCATTAACTTTGCCATCTCTGCCTGAAATTCTGGAGTCAGGTCCTGTGGTGTGCGCTCTTCCCTAGGCTGGTACACCATTAGGCCTGAATATGGGTATTCTGTGCTTAAAAAAAGATAAAGCAAGAGAAGTGATAGAGCTCCCTTTTTCAGTTTCTCAGTCCTCGAGAGGTATCGACAACATCTCCTGAAAGTTTCTGAATACAGATCTTTCAAAATTCAACATTTTAAAACCTCAATTTAGAAAGTCAATGTTTCTTTAAATATAAGAACTGTATACAAAAAAGAAAATACCGACTTTCTATGCTGTTTTTGTTGAATTTTGTAGAGATCTGGAACTTACCTTCTCTATTTTTATTCTGCAGATTAAAATTTCCAGTGATTGTTTTGAATGTTAACATAATGAGCAAAATCCAATATGATGCATACACATGGCAACACATACACACACACACACACAGCGGCATGTGCAAATGCATCCACGCACACACTGAGTTATTCAGGTGTATGAATTGCTGCATAAAACCTGCTGCATAATTTGCAGTATGATTGTTTTTTTTTAATGAAGTCAGCATGAGGTCACACTGTTTTTTTTATTTTCTTTAAAAGCTTGCAACTTGCAGCCAGGACACAGAGCTACCCTTCCTGATCAGTTTAGCCAGTCTGTTGGTGTTACTTGGATCAATAGGACTGTGGTGCAATAAAAACAGACACCATGAAGGTTCTAGTGTCAAGCTTTTGCTACACCTGTTTTAGAGCAGTCATTCTGTTATTATAGAGTTGATATAAATCATAGTAAAATAATCACCTCTATACCTATTAGAATAATAGTAATAAAACAAATTCATAAAAATGACCATAAAATTACAACATCTTGAACTAGATTAAATGAGCATTATATCATTGACAGTAACAGAACAGTTAATAAACTGCATGAGCTGGAGCCTAAATCCATTTACCTTTGAATATCCTTGTTTTCTTTTCTGTGTAATGGATTTTTTATTTAATTTGAAGTCAATTTGATTTGTTAGGGTTTTTTGTTTGTTTTTTAAATACATCTGTGAAGTGCTAACCTGAACCCTCATGAAAGCTCTTCAGGGAAAGAATGGAATTGGTTGATCTTTGTGTGGCATTTAAATTTCATATTGAATGTCACATCTTGTTAAAAAAAACAAAAAAAACAAGAAGATAATGTAATTATACTGACAGGATGATGAGGTTTGTTCCTATCAGCTCCTAGACTCTCAGATTGTGCACCAGAGTGTTGTGACTCCAGAGGACAAATTCAATAAAAGCAATTAAAAGCAAATATTGAATTAAATCTACATCAAGAAAGGCTTCACTTACCAGCCTGAAAATTCTCATAATGCTAAAGGGCTGCGAGTTTTTCAGTGTGAGAATCACGTCAAATACAGCGGTGGTGGTAAAAGACAGAAGACTGCTGTGGCTACCATCAGTCTTACCCACTGGATTAGCTGCTAGTCGTATGGGTCCGATGCTCACATCTATCTGACTGAATTAATATTGAATGTAGCTACATGACACATCAATGTGTCTGCAGCTCATTATGGGAGTGTCAGGAGTTGGACAAATATTATCTTTTTTGGTGATTGCTGTGAGTCATCTTTTCAGCCAAATGAATATTGATAAGATTAGTGAATCCTGCCTAACAAGCTCTCTCAGTGCATTAAAGCACCTTGTTAAATCAGCAGTGAAGCACCAGATGGAGTAAAAAAGGGTTTATTTTATTTTATTGTAGTATTATTTTTTAAATATTAATGCTATACATGCAGTATATGCTTTCTATTGGCCTGTAGTGATTCTACTTAATGCTTTTGCATGACCTTGTAATTATATTATTGCGTTTAAATAAGATTCATAAAATGTATTCTTTTTTCTATTTCCACAGCTAAACGATCCTTATTAACGGCAGTTAATTTGAATTATTCTGAACACAGATGTCAACTTCTAAAACTGTGTTAGCATTACTTTGTGAGGAAAAGCAGCAGGATTAGTCCATTCAGCAAATGACCATGAATGATACCAGTCCACTGAATGGACAGACTTCGAAGCGGTTGCCTGAATTCAAATGGCACTCTTTTTTAAGAGAAGGCCCTGGTATCTGGTACAAATTGGAAAATGAAGAAGGCAGACAGTTTTTATTATGTTCCTCATAAAGATAATACGATGTCTAATGTAAGAATCCACGCACACACACTTACTATCCAAGAAAATACCAACAGTTAACAATTCAGATTTCTAAAACAGTTTGAAAGACTAGTAATCATCTATTATTTCTAAATTTATATGTGTGTGTTTTTGTTTCTAGATTCCGCTTCTCGGGAAGCTGCAGTGATTTTTTTATGAGTTTATGAGTTATTGATGCCCAACATTCAAATGACACCTTAAAAGCTTGTCATCCCAGCGCTCTATTGTTTGCTTGAATGAGACTGAGATAAGACTGCGGTAACTTATCTTCGCACGGCCATCATTACGTCGCCTCACCACCCTCACTTTAACACTCCTGATGTGTACGTTCTGAACTGTTTCTTTATTCCATACCTGAAATCAAAATATTGGCATTTAGCAATTAACAGAATCACCTAAATATGAAAATGTTTTAAGTCAAGACAGGAGCACATGAAGGAGAGTTGGAAAAAGGTCAGTACAGGGAGATTACAGAGGCAGACAGATCGAGATATGCTTTTGTTTCATTTTTCAGCTATTTAAATTTCAGAACAAAATATGGTAAATGGACTGATTCTTATATAGCGCTTTTCTACTCTCTTGGAGTACTCAAAGCGCTCTATACAACATGCCACATTCACCCAATCACACCCATTCTCACAAGCACTTTATCTGTACTTAGTGCTATCTAACTACATTCACACACATTCATACTCCGGTGGATGCATCGGAGAGCAACCTGGGGTTAGTATCTTGCCCAAGGATACTTGACATGCAGACTGGAGGAGCCAAGGATCGAACCACCAACCTTCCGATCAGTAGGTGACCTGCTCTACCTCCTGAGCTACAGCCACCCAATATATTATTAACTGTTCAAATTACCTGTAATTATCCACTGGAAGGTGAAAATTGTATTCCTCTTGGTCTGAATCTGGAGTACTATAGTATTCCTGTAAGTAGTATTCCTGTACAACAGCAGTATAACCAGCATT